AACGTGTACTAAATTAGCATTTAAATTACTAGCTATACGATTCGTATCTTAACAATATTATGAATGCGAATGTTTGTTAGAAGGTATCTCCAGAAAAGCTCAACTGATCTTGATGTAATTTGGCATGGATGTAGAACATAATCTGGAAGAATACATAGACTTAATTATTTTTTTTATTAATTCCGCATGGAGTCGCGGGCTACAGCTACTTGTAAAGATTCCCAGAATCTTAGCTGTTCTAGAAATATTTACCCAAACTAAGTTATTTTTTACTTTACCACTATGCTAAATAAACCCTATACCCTATCTATATTTATTTCTATTTTTTTTTATCTGATAGGAGGAAACACACATATTTCAAATCACCAATATGCTTTAAATACAAGCTTCCGAAATCGATTTAAATTTCGAAGGGAATGATAACAAATTAAGTAACTCGGTAATACCCCTGAGGTCCTAATAGCTCGATTATCGCTATCATAAACCCCTCGGGATACATTCTAAGACGATACTTAATGACGACCCTTTTTATTGGCTTTCTGCATATAGATACCAATGATAACCTCATTTCATAAGACATAATAATGTCTTACAGTGGAAATATAGTATCGTTTCACTTGCCTAAAAAATACTTACTTTATCATCTCTCTCATTTTCTTATTAAAAGACAGAGACAGAACATGTCTTAATATAAGTATGGTAGGAATTACAGTTGTAATGGCTTATGAATGAAATCATAGCATTATATTTATTTGGTACAAATAAGAGAACGCTGAATTCGCGAATTTCAACTGTCGCAATACTTTTATCTCTGCTTTTTTCAAAGTGAAAGAGCGGGATGGGAATATTGTATAACAGTTGCCACGACTGTGGAGACTCGCCGTAAAAAGACCTTCAAACTCCACGTCAATTTCTAAGCAGCTTATAAGTTGGCAGTTTCGTAATTATAGTGGACATATTGATAGGCTTCTCAGATTAACGTGACTTCGGAAGCAAGGTCAAGATTAGCTAATATTTGTTATGAAGTATTTACTTAGTATTGATTCATCTTTAATTCATAATCTACAACTATAAGCCAAGTGGTAAAACATAAATGACTGATTATTTTCTTTAATCAATTCCTTAGAAAAATATTGAATAAAAAATAAGTAATCATTAGAATACAACTCTAAAGAAGGGCGGTATTAGCTCACCGATGAGCAAGTGTCAGGATCGCACCAAATAGAGGCCGTCTCTGCCTACACCTCTAGGTCGTAAGTTATATTGTTGTTACTGAATTATAATAACAATTTTCTATATTTTTAACTACCATATTACTTCATAAAAATAGCTTATTACGAAACGGATCCAAACACATCATTTTGAATTCGAAATTCAAGAAAATACACTGACATTTTTGTATATAATATTTGACATTGTAAACTTCAATACATCAATGTATATTAAACCTGATCTAACAAATTAAATCTAAAATATGAACGGGTACAACCATTAACATCTACACGAACCAAAATAAAGAAATGGCTCACAAATCCATTAATTTAATCTGATACATTTTCCGCGATATTTTGATTTGCAAACCGCTAATCAAGATGGATGACAATGAAGGCTATGGTATGATTTTCACTTTAATTTTTATGAGTAAGCTTAAAATTGCTGATATTTGTAGGAAGGAAAAAGGCCACATACTATGGAATTTATTAGATAAAGGTCAGTAGTAAGTTCACAGACTGATGATGACGATGAAATAAATATTCGATAGGAGGGCAAAGCACGGTGCAGAAGAAGCAAAATTCATAAACAATCTCGAAATTCATTTTACTGTCTGTCCCATACTACCATAACGTTTACACTACACCAATGCTGTCGACATGGTGAGCAGCATTCGGTGTGTCGAATACTGCAGCAGTTGCTTTTGTCGACAGTGAGACTCGTTTGTTTGACGCCTTAAATGCAAAGTATATTTGCGTTAAAGTAATTTGATACTAATTTTCCAGAGCGTGATGAATTAGATGACATAATAGATGGAAGTGACAGTGAAACATCAATATCAAGATCAACGACTGCCTCAAGCATCGCTTCCAGCATGTACGATAAATGCCACTTCATTCTGGAACTTCACGATTTAAAGAAAGACAAGCAAACAGTTGAAAAACGGCCGGACTCGAGGGTTAAAAAGTTAAAGAAGAAAACCAAAAGTCCGGCTTCCACTAAGAAATCTGAAAGCAGTGATTCGAGCAGTGGAAACGATGATTATACGCTTACACAATCACACGTATCTAAGGAACAGTTCTTTGATGCACATGAAAGCTATTATGGTCTACCCGGTATGTTTTTATTATCCTTGGTGTCATTATAGTTAAAACAAAATTGTTTAAAAAGTTTGAATATTTGAGCAGCTATTTCATTTACTCGAACAATAGTCGTATTGGAGCAATTAATAGACAAAGTATACCAATAGAGCAAAATCAAAATACAATAGCCGCGCGCAAAAGTTTTGTCGATGATTCCCTCTCCCACTAACACCGCGTTCGATTACTCAATACAGTCCGTTAACTCATGACGTCATTAGGCCATCGGCAGAGCTTTTGTGACGTGCATAAATATATAAATGTTTTTGTGTAATATTTTATGATTGTTCTTTTATTCTAGACAAAGACCCCAATCGAAATCAAAACAATATAAGGGATATTAATAAAGTAAAAGAAATTAGAGTTATAACAACAGGACATTCAGACCGACATCCACATCTACCGCAAATAGGAGTAAAGGTTATAGTTTTTTTTTATTTTAAATTGTAGAACACTAATATAAAATAATTAATGTGGCTTAATTTCCTAAATATTGATGCACAGATTCCTGAATCCATTGAAAAAGAAAAACTCAAACCCGATGATATTAATCAAGCAACGAATGTAAAGATGTAAACTATATGAAATAGTGGTCAAACTAAGCATATGAAAAATTAATTATAAATGAAACCACAGAAGATCTTTGACTAAACAACAAATTTGAAGCTTTTCCAGAAATTAAAATTTTACGAAAGTAACAATATAAGAGAATAGCTGTACTAATAACTCATTTTTTTTTAATTTTTATGAAAATTGAAGAAGCTAATATTTACATTAAATAAATAAAAATCAAAAAATCTCGTTTATTTTTTAAGTATTTATATGTTTACAGGATTTGAATTCTTCACTTTCTAGAACAAGTGGCAACATAATTTCCAAACAACTGCTTATGGTCTTTGCCTACCCCTCTACGTTACTTAAGCAATTACGTTGCTTATGCACTAAATTACAAGTCACAAAGAAATTGTAGCCACAACCAGGTTAATTGCGACAAATTTGTATGCAGCTTAACTTATTATTCGTTGCTTATATATAAAAGAATGCATTTTGTCAACGTGAAGACGGCTGAGTTATAGTTCAACGATCTCGTGGCAGTTGAAAAATATGTGAATTGTAAATGTCATGTTGACAGCGTCATTTTTGAGGTAGCGACAGCTACATGGTTTAAAATATAAAAAAGTTATGCTAAAATTTTTAAACATCCAAAAGATATAAAACATTGGTTTAACATCATCATCATCAGCTAACTATACGTCTGCACTGAGGGGCTGGGAGCCTACCCTAAGTTAGAGATGACTAGGCAACATAGTATACTATAGTATACTTACTCTTTGCTATGCAACATTGGTTGACCACCTTAAAAATCTATACACAGAGTATTGCCAATTAGGATATTACACTTAAACTTCCCCATCTGGCAATAGTCGTAGTAACTGACACTTCTTGAATTCGTTATCGCCATGGCTACAAGTTACTTTAACATTTGTCATGGAGTGACTTGGTTTTGTCAAAAATTGTGTCATGAAGAATTTAAATTCTTAGTACTATATTTATATAACTAATATTCAATCGTATTGATGTTAAAGTCTCGATTTTATTCTAGTCTTACTAAAATAATTTGGTAGGTAAAATAATTTATACTTTTTAGTATTTATGATTCATGAATGACACTATCTCGGTGGAATAGATTTATAAAATAACTAGCTGTCGCCCGCGGCTCCGTCCGCGTAGAATAGTAAAACACATAATTAGTAGCCTTTGTGTCCTTCCGAACAATGTTCATATCTATGCAAAATTTCATCAAGATCTTTTGAGCCTACAGAAACCTTCAAATAAACATTTATCCATCCATCTAAACATTCGCATTTATAATATTAGTAACACGGCAGTTTATTAATATATTCATATGTCTCTTAACTTTTAACTGTTAATTATATAAAAGCTACCGCAAAATTTGTAAAATGAGGTGCTTATACTAGTTATACCTTTGTCGAAATATGTTTAGAATCCAACACCCAAGGAGCTTCTTTACTCATTCCTTGTTAACTAATGTTAATTGCAATAAAAATGAGAAAATTGCGAATAGAGAGTAACATAAACTTCTCACAATAAAACTACTAATTCGTATTGTGTATTCAACAAAACATAAGTTTGTTTTGAGCAAGCCCTTTGTATTAGTTCTTGTTTTGCTTTGTACACAAAATTGCAGACAGACAAAACAAAAAGTATAGCAAATGTAATTTATCAAGTGCAAACTATTTGATCCCTAAAGCGTATTGTTTTTTCATTACAAAACAAAATCGGTTAAGTTATAAAGTAAAACATTTAAACAAGAGCACACCATAACAATTTGTAGTTGGTTGGCTAATTCATGCGTTCTATTCTAGCTAAAACATAAGTGGATCAAGCGAAATAAATCACAATTATCTCAAAACCAAAAACATTGAATTATGAAAATCATGTTGGAATAGCAGGACAAGGCTTCAATTAATTTTAAAATGAACTTATTTACAGGTATGGAAAAGACGTTACGTCATAAAGCTAAAAATAAAAAATCTACAGGCAAACCCAAGCCTACAAAAAAACGAAAAAGCGATGGTTTGTTAATAAATTTTATTTTACTACTACTTGATAAGAATAATAATAGTAATCGTCATCAAAGTCAACAACTAAAGAACACAAGAAATATCAAAGTTTTGCTATTTTTTCATTGCAGGACCTAGTTGTTCAATGTTCTTAGCAGAACTTTCAAGAAAACTGGCACTAAAGAAGAAACAAGAAGAAGAATCACCTAAAAACATAGTACGTAAGTAAATTATTTTCGGTAAGCTTCGTGTAAAACTGTATGAAATTTAGTTTAATTTCCTTAATCCTTATAGAGACCATAATAGAGAGTATAACAAATGCATTGCCGATCAAATTTTTCAAAAAACGTGCTGACGTTAAGGAACCACCTTTGGCATTAGAGAATCTACAAACTTACGCTCCTGAACTGTTACCAAGTGATAAAATTGAGATTGTCAAAGTTGGAAATGAAAATATCACAAAGGATGAAGTTGAAATCAAACAGATAAATTTAGAACAAAACATACGAAAAACACCTTTCAAAGTACCTAAAATGCCAGTCGTTAATAGCGAAGTACTTAAAGTCGCAGCTGAAAGAAGTAAAAAACGAGAGGATGCATCCGTGAATACTGGAGTTAGTAATGACGTAGCAGTTGAATTGGCTAAGCATGTCAACACTTTGAAGAAAATATCATTGATAGCCGAGGAATTTAATAAGAAAACAGGTAAATAATAAAAAGTTACACATATAGTTATACAAAACAAACTATATAAATTTTTTTATATCATAAGGTGGCAAACGAGCGAGCGGTCACCTGAAATCGATGAAATAGCGAAGTGACCGTTGCCCATAGACATACGCAATCGCTTATGCGTTGCCTACCTTTAATCGACGGAGGAGGGGATGCACAGAAAGAAAATGTCTTCCCCTTCCTTGCATCCTCTCATCCGGAAAGTTCACTTCCACTTCCCATCTCTTCCCCATAAGAAAAAGGGTGGGAAGGAAAAGAGGACTAAATAAGGCCTCCGGGACGCACACTCATCAGACGAAACGCAGAATTGCTTCCACTTCACGCCTGTCTTCTGTGTGGTCGTGGTATTTCACCGGGCAGCCGGGTCAATTCGTCCGAAGATATTAAAGCGGGCTCTACCACTGTTAACTGTATATCATAACACTAGCTGTCGCTTGCGAGACCGTCCGCGCGGAATTAAAAAAAAAATTGGTCGCAGCGTAACGTTATATAATCTAAAGCCTTCCTCTATAAATGAACTATCCAACAAAAAAAAATTCAAATCGGACTAGTAGTTCCTGAGATTAACGCGTTTAAACAAACAAACTCTTCTGCTTTATATTATTAGTATGGATAAATACCTATCATATTATTCCTTGCAGCTAAAAATTTAAAAGAAATAGTAGACAGCGTACAAGAAGAATTAATAAAGAAGCTGGAACTTGTACAAGCGGAACAAGCATTGGAGGCAGCCAAAAATAATGACCCTACTCAAAAGTAGTAAATCTAAAAAGTATCATCATCACCGTAAAGACATCAAAAGTCAAAATGGAATTTAGACCTGTCAATAACAAGATCTGTGTTTAGTTGTCATAAATAAAATGTGACACCGGTCATTCATAAATTTATTGTAAAATATTAAAATTATAAAAATATTAAAAGTGTTTCTCTGACGAGCTTTTATTTATCGTATATTTAGCGCGCGACTAAAAGAGTCAAATTACCGTTAATTTGAATAATGTTTCAAAATATTTGTGCGGTGTTTGTGATTATTCTTGAAACAACTATTATTTAATAAATCGACATCTGAGACCAAATCTTTTATTTGGAAATTCATCGTAATGTGTAAGTGTTTTTTTCATTGCATGTCGTTGCGTATTTAAAATGATAAAACAGTATCGTCATTAATGGTGAAGTAAGCTAATCAATTTAATTAGATTATTTTTTTCAACCTCTTCTTCGTAGTCATCATCCTCTTCGTTATCATCCTCTTCATCATCAACATTAGTAGCAGCAGTAGCCTCTCTGTATCCATTGCTAGAGATAAGCCTGCAACAGTTAGCCTGAAAGAAAATTGTTCACTAAAATATTATTGTCATTTGATTTGCTTTTCGAAGATTTCAACCAGTTTTTCGTAATGGAAGAACCAGTTAAAGACAACGCAGGTGGACCATTGATAACGAACGATGACGTTATAACATACGGACATCCGAAAGTCAGCAAAAATGTCGTATTTGGTATAGGTAAGAGATACTTAACTTAATAAAATCAATTTTCAAATTATTTGAAATAATACAAACAAAAAAGAAATATCAAATTTAAATACATGCATAATTATCAAGTTCTAAATATTTCTAGGAGACATGCCTGCAGGCAGGACCAATAATATTGTTAGCAAGTCGGCTCTAAAGAATAAACAAAAACTAGGTGATACTACATAAATATAAATTGAATGTTTATTTCCACGAAGAATTATCGAGAATTATCTAAAGAGTTAACATTTTGTGTTGCAGCAGACAGACACAGTTCAAAACCAAGTCAAATACCAAGATACAGATATCACCAAAAAGAACCACCAATATTAGAAATACCAACAAAGTCAATCACAGAATATGGAATAAAAATAGAAAAACCACGCCGTAAACTTTTGATGAAATCATCCTTAGAAAAGATACAACTTCACAATCGAAAACGAGGTTTGCAGTTCAATTCGCTAAATAAATTATAATCATTAGACCTAATTACTTGTGTTATTGCTTATATTATAATAATGTATTAAAAATCCTTAGATCTTCGTTCAGACATGCAATCTGAATCAAGTTCGGCGATTATAACTAAAGTACTTTTAGAAGAAATCAGGGGACGTCATAAAATTGGGAGTGATCGTTTAAACGGTAACTTACATTTTGTTTTATTTAATAAGCAAAGAAATACAATTGAACCTGAATATGCGAGAGTCTAAGGGACCGTAAATATATATGTTTCTCGCTGACAGAAGTTTCTCTATAACCCGATTTCGTCGCTAATGGAGGTACTCTGTCGAGACTTGGCTCTCGCTTATGAAGGTTTATAGAGGTTTCTCGCTTATTCAATTTGGATAGTATTTCTTTAATAATTATTATCTACAGAATGGCTAATGGAATCTGCTACGGACTACTTAAGGCCAATAGCGAATTGTTTGGGTGCAAGTAATATATCCAGCACAATGGTACCACAAACAAGTCAAAGCGAATGTGATGTTAATACAAGAATGAGTATAGGTATCTGATTATTTAAATTAAAATGGTCTACATTACATATTTTGATTAAAGATAATAATAAATAATTTTAAATTATTTATTTTGTAGAAAAAAGATTGATAGAAGCTTTATCTAATAAAAATCATAATGCTATTATAGCATTGGATAAGAACATGCCCTACATTACTTTTGAGGATTTGGATTTAGATATGAGACCTGAACAGGATCTTTCTAATAATGATCACTTAAAAGGTGAGCTAAATATATTTTTCAGTTCAGATTTTCCTTTAGATTGTGTAATTGTAAAACATGTTGATCTGAATGTTGGGCCACCAAGGTTTCGGATGAAAGAAGATTGCATGTAGCTGAAATGCGTATGCTAAGATGGATGTGTGGTGTGACAATAAAGGATAAAGTTAAAAATGTGTATATTAGAGGAAGTTTCAAAGTAGCGCCAGTGATCGAGAAATTGAGGAGTAAAAGATTAGCGTGGTTCGGACATGTTATGAGAAGGGATGATGATGATATAAGCAAAAAAGTAATGAGATTGAATGTGGATGGCTACAAGGATAGGGAAAGACCAAAAAAAGTGTGGAATGACTGTGTGAAAGAGGATATGCGTAAGTAGGGGGTAGACTTGGATATGACGGCTGATAGAGATGTATGGAGGAGTAGTACATACTGTGCCGACCCTCGATAGGGATAAGGGCAGGTTGCTGATGATGATGATGTGTAAAACAAATTAATTTGAATAAATAGATAATAAATAATTTGATTATTTAGATCATATCAATGAAAAAAAGAAACATAATAATACAGAAATTACGACAAATGCAGTATTTGAAAATTGTATATTGAAGACAAAAGAATACTTCAAATCTAAATCACCGAAGAAAAAAGCAGAAA